TGAAGATCTTCATGATACGCTCTCAGTTTCTCAAGATCTTGCTTCCTTTGAAGATAATTGTAGGAAAGCTTCTCATGAGAGGCTGAGAGAGTTTCATGACGACTTTCAAGTTCCTCGTACTTAACACGAAGATTTTTAATGTCTTTGATTAAGGATTGAGTTTGATTCATTTCCGCGTCCATCGGATCATCGCTTTTGTCTAGCAACTTTTGAATATGGTCCATAGCAGTTTGTTGTTCAGTTACAATTTTAGTAACTGTCTTATAGCTAGGTTTGGATTCACATTTAGAGTCATCTTCACTGGTGGTTTGGAAGTAAGCATCGCGTGAGTTTACCTTGGCACCTCGTACTATGAAGCAGTAGGTTTGAGCAGAGTCATCCTCATCATTAGCTTTAGCTTCGATGGAGTGACCATTGTCTTCAGTGTTGAAGATGGACTTGGCAACGAATGCCGAAGCTAGAGCCAGGCCTGCCACACCTGAATCAAACTCCTCTTAAGACTCCACCTTCTTAGAAGCAGACTCCTCTGAATCCATCTCCATGCCAATTAATGCATGAGCCTTGCCATATGAGCTCTTCTTGTGAGATGAACACTTTGACGAAGACTTTGAAGAAGACTTTGAAGATTTCTTCTTCTTCTTGTCATCAGAATCATATTGCTTGATCTTCTTCTTCTTCCTCTTTGATTCCTTGTCCCATTGAGGACACTCAGATATGTAGTGGCCTGGCTTCTTGCATTTGTGGCATGTTCTCTTCTTGTAGTCACGAGATGAAGCCTCATCATTTCTTGAGATGGATCTTGAAAACTTTCCGAAGTGATTCTTCTTGGAGAACTTCTGGAACTTTCTCACAAGCATTACAAGCTCTTTCCCAATGTCTTCAGGATCACCGGAACTATAGTCAGATTCTTCTTCAGATGAGGAAACAGCCTTAGCCTTCAAATCACGGGACCGGCCATAGTTGGGACCATAGATATCTCTTTTCTCAGATAGCTGGAAGTCATGTGTGTTGAGCCTCTCAAGTATGTCAGACGGATCGAGGTCTTTGAAATCAAGACATTCTTGTATCATCAGGGCCAAGGTGTCGAAGGAGCTGTCAAGTGATCTTAGAAGCTTCTTCACTATTTCATGCTTGGTGATCTCATGGGTGCCAAGAGCATGAAGCTCATTTGTGATATCAGTGAGGCGATCGAACATGACCTGGAAATTCTCATTGTCATTCCTCTTGAAGTGGTTGAAGAGATTGCAAAGACCATCAATCCTTGAGTCTTTCTAAGTTGAGATGCTTTCGTTGACCTTGGACAGCCAGTCCCAGACTAGCTTCGTAGTTTCCAGTGCACTCACACGGCCATACCGCCCTTTGGTCAGATGACCACATATGATGTTCTTGGCAGTTGAGTCCAGTTGCGTGAACCTCTTGACATCAGCAATGGTGACACCTTCACCGACCTTGGGAACATCTGTCTTGAAGACGTACCAGAGGTCAATGTCAATGGCTTCAAGATGCATGCGCATCTTATTCTTCCAGTAGGGGTAACCAGTGCCATCGAAGACTGGGCACGCAGCGGAGACCTTGATTATCCCTACAGTCGACATAGCTAAAACTCCACGTGGTTAAACCGAATCACACAGAACAAGGGAGCACCTTGCTCTGGTACCAATTGAAAGTGCTAGTTATCGACTAGAGGGGTGGTGAATAGGCAATTTTTATGGAAGTCTTCAAAATGCGAGGTCCTTGAAGACAAGTTGTAAATCTGAACCTATATGATATGCAGCGGAAGATAAACTACACTAGACAAGCAATAGTCAAGCAAGCAATGCAGTGAACGCTTGAAGACTAACATTAGCTAGGTAGAAAGGATGAGAATGGAAGACAGTGCGAAGCCAAATAGTTACAAGTCTTCACACGGTGAAGTCAAATAGATCAGGCAAGCAAGCAATGACTTCACGAAGACAAACTAAAAAGTAGGGAAGGTAGGGGATAGAACCAGTTGCTTGGTGAAGACAGGGATTCGGTAGACTAATTCCAGTTGTTGTGACAACTGTATGTCTGGTTAGGGAGGCTGAGATTGAACTCAGAAGACTGTGTCTTCGCCTTATTCCCCTAGAGCTAAGGACACCCAGTCCTCGCCCTATCACTCTGGTAAGTCTTCAAGGCAGAATTCCAAACCTTCACATACTCCGTTCATGTGTGATCCACAATGACTCTTGGACCCTCAGAACGTGATGCCTAACCGGCTGTAGGATGCACAATCCTCAAGTGTAACAAGTCTTTAGGTCACGCAGACAGAAAGATTTCAGTGATGCCTAACACTCTTTGGCTCTGGGTGTTTTGGGCTTTGTCCTCGCAATGATCTCTCTCTCAAAGGCTTCGGAGGTGGGTTGCTCTCAAATGATAAAAGTCGTGCACTAACTCTAAGCAGCCACCGAATTATAGTGTAGGGGGTGGGCTATTTATAGCCAAGAGGCAACCCGACCTGATATGTCTGAAATGAACCTGGGTCACTAAGGAACCGACACGTGTCCAACGGTCGGATTTCAAATACATGCGGCAGCTTGGCTTGGGCTAAAAGGAAAGTTGACTCATCCAACTCTGGATAAGATTTGCTCTCATTGTCTTCACTCGAAGACATAGGATTTTGGTTGAGCATCACTTCAGTCATCTGACTTTGTCCACTTGGACCCCACTTAACAGTACGGTGGTTCCTATGACTCAAAAAAGAAGAAAAAAAACCTACGAAAGAAACTATGTCTTCGCACTCCATAGCCTTCAAGTGAATGTCTTTATCGTCATTATCTTCAACGTGAATCTCTTCACGAACCACCATTGTCTTCAATGTCTTCATACATTTTTAGGGGTCATCTCTGGTAGGTAAACTGAATCAATGAGGGACTACTACCTGTGTTATTCTACAGTTCTAACAAACACATTAGTCCCTCAACCACGTTTGTCGTCAGTACTCCAAAGCCAACTAGGGGTGGCACTAGATGCACTTACAACACGCATGTTTATGTAGGCATGCAGACGCACGGGCTTTCGTTTGAACACGGGGCAGCCACATGCACTGGGAAAGTGGTGAGGGCACCACTCTCGGCCGACGCGCCATTTCAATACCTAAGCATCACGAGAGATCGCGTCGCTCTGAGCCGACATGAATCGACATGATGTTGTGGAGGGGCGCTGACCTAGGAACGCGTGCGAGCATGGGTCGGGTTTTTTGGTGGGCAATGGTATTACTCTAAGCTCAATGGCATTTGACCGAACACTTGCCGCGCGTGGTATTTTCCATGGAGGTCGTCGACAGGGGGCGGAGTGTACCTGGGTACAAGCGGCTCTAGGGTGGACAGGTTCGTCGAGTGGGCGCGTCATTGCTAGTTGCCTACGTTTGGCAATGCCTCTGTGGTGGCCAAAGACATCCGGCAACGAGGGCGGAGGTGGAGGGATGCGGATGCAAAGCAAGGGGAGAAGGGGCGGAGTGGAAGGAAATGTGACCTGGAGGGGGGGATTGGGTGGGCCGGGGGTGTCGGAGTCCTACGTTTCGGGTGTCTGGACTCCCTGGAGGGGGCGGGATTGGGTGGACCGAGGGTGTGAGAGTCCTATGTTTTGGGTGTCCGGATTCCCGCAAACCTTCCTCCACTTTGTCACCAATTTGCAAAAGAAAAACGCGGCCAGACCGCCTCGCGGACAGATACAAGCCTGTAGTCTGGACAGCGCGGTCCGAACAAATGCGGGGGGTTTGCGGATCCGCCTTGGAGATGCTTAGTAGGTTTCTTACATTTTTACCTAATTTGAGTAAACTTGTGCCACAAATTATTCATTTTAATTGTTTCCCCAGTCTGACAGCTTGGGCCCATGCCTCCACGCCGACCGGGCTTGCTATGCTGGTGGTTTATTTCCCTGGTTCGGTTTTTGCAGCCACCAATGTCAGCGGCACTAAGAGCGGCGGACAGCGCACGCCGAAGCAGAGGCACCACGCCGACGAGGCGCTGCAGGCGGTACCCCGTGTGGAGCTGAAGCCGGAAAGTGAGCTTGAAGACGAGAGTGCCATGGCAGAGCTCCTTGCTGATGATGACACCCAGCAAACCGACATACCAGCTATGCCTGCCAAACAAATTAAAATGATTCTACTCCCTCCGATCCAAATTAATTGTCGCAACTCTAGTACAATTTTACCTACATATTCTTCAATTGTTGCACAGCAGCAGTGCTGTGTAAAGGAAAATCCCTTCAGCAAAACTAATTAGTTGTTATGCTCCAGGAACAAATGTTGATTTGGGAATAAGAATGCACTACCTGCCTCCAAATTAGCTACAATGCATATGCTAGTATTTACTTGCTCTTAAATGAAGTCCTTTCTACGAAACAATTCCGATGGTTATCATATTTCTTTAACCAGAAAGAGTAGAAGAACCGAGCCTTGAGAAATATAATCACCAATTGTCTTCTTGCACATAGTTATCATACAGTATTTCTCAAAGATGGAATGCTTCTCAGATGATCGCCAGTTTACAACAAGGTAACCCGTTCACTACAGAGTCTGATCGCCACAATGTTAAGCTCCCTTGCATCGCAAACATTTTCTTTTCAAAATCCGCACCTCCGCAGCTTTGCATCATAGAGTTGTGTCGGCGCTAGTTATCTTCGGATCAAGCTGCATATAGCAACGAGCCCACAACCATGTCCTCAGCAGCCACACGCCGACCAAAAGATACCACCTGAAGCAGCACTCACGTCCACTCCAAAATCCATGACAGCAACAACATCATGGGCCAATGCCCACAGCCTGGCCAACCTGCCCCTTCTGGAAACAGTTTACATCCACTCATTATGAATTCTACCGATTTTCAACAGCCCACTGGACTGTTTTGGCAGTAAATCTCATGTTGAATGGAAAACTAATTGTAAAAAGCAGGCAACGGTATACACAAATGGTTGCACTTTACCTTCTTTGCATCCTTCTTTGCTCTGTGTTGAAGCTTCCTCTCCTCATCCTCTTGCTATTATTTCAATATCCTCTCTGGAGAAAAAGTGAAGGACGCATTTTTAACTTGCGCACAACATTCTGATAGACAGTTCGGTCTTCAATGGGCATTTGGGATCTATTCCTCATCATTTGCTAGATATATATATATGAGAACACAATCAAAGGAAGTATCTCCACAGATGATACTCATGCATGCCCGTCACAATGATTGGCAGTCTGTATCATCTCACTATTACGATGGAATAAACAAGTTATCTTTAACACTGATAACCACTGGATATTCACTTTACTGCGTAAATTTGTAGTACATGGCTGCTAAAAAAATGTTACTTTTATGCAGCAAAACCTACACATGATTTAGACAGTTAACTGCAAGAAAGAAAGAAAATTAAGCCCCCAAGCTGATGCTTCATATATCCATATCTATAATTCAATGGTAAAATGATAAAATAATTAAATAAGTATATATAAACTTATAAGGCAACTAGCTGATATATGGCATACACGCTTGAGATTATGATCTAACCCATAAACCAAGCATACTATAAAAGCATATTGCTTTCTACAATGCTGTCTACTATCTATACTCCAGAACTGAGTAACAACCATCAGAAGTTAAATGATCCCTTACAGAACGATGGTGTAAATTCGAGAGATAATTTATATTCAGTTGCAAATCCCAAACAAGACTATTACTTTGCACATGCAGGAGTACATGACCATTGTTTCATGCGGGTTATCACATGACAGGAGTATAGGGAGAATCACAATGCCACGTTAAAATTGTGGATTCAATTAATTCGGCAACTTCTTTGAGCAATCATTCCATATTCCATATAAAGCCTAGAGAACAATGCAAACCTCAGCGGAAATCAAGCAGGCATTTCGCCACACAAGAGTGCAGCCCTAGCACAGACAATGGTCTCAGGAAGGAACAATGAGAAACAGTACATTATTCAGACTCGCCTTTCTCTGAAGCTGGAGCACCCTCAACATTGCTATGAGAGGTCGTCGAGCTCACGCCATCATCTTTGCTCGTTGTACCCTTCACCGATTCTTCATTTGGTGCACTCTTGGGAATATCACCCGAAGAAACTTTCGGTAGCAAGGCATATCCTTGTTTGTTGAGCATGTTAGCACTCTCCAGAGCACCTTCTCCATAACAAGGAACCCTAGATGAAACAAAGGGGTAAATTTTCAGTCTATAACTGTTAAGGTTATAAACAACACGAGACCATTAAAGTTGTGTAGCGCTGCTACAATTATTCCATCGTTGGTTTTAATGACGCTAGGTGCTAACTATGTTCTGTTGAGTTCGGTTTCTAACAACTAGCTAGTGTTTGCAAATATTATGAAGTAGAATTACGATCTACCATACCAATAAACGGAACACCGATGAGATATTTGCAACTAGCCAGCACCAGAGGCATAGAACTCTTCTCAAATATGATAACATCTATCACTCCAATAATTGCACTTTGATTAAATGCTAATCACATGACACTAACCATCACAAAAGATGCCACACTAACGCTAATTCAGCTAATTGAACCCCTCAAAGGCCAACACACTTTCGTGCTCGCAGCTGAACAAGAAAAAAAGGAAGATAAATACCGCCTGGTAACCTCCTTGTTGTAGAACATCTAATAAACTCAAAGGCCTAAAGCAACTAAGGACACAGGGGAAACCAAAGGCTGACCCTAAAGAGTAGCGAACCATTGAGAAGTTTCTTTTGAGTATGCCATCCATACGAATGATGTGTGGTATGGAATAAGGGAGGCGTTTGGGACTCACCTGATATTGTGGTTGTTGCTGACGCATTCGAATGTGTTGACAAAGTCCCCTTCCTTCATAGCATTGGACCCCTTGCTCAACAGCCGTTGTGCGCGATCTACTGTTTTATCCTCCTCTCCCCCCTCCTCGCTAGGCTTCGACGCCAGCAGGTTCTGCTGCTGGCCTCGGGGTACAGGAGTGTAGAAGCTGACAACCGGGATCAAATTAACGAAGCCATGATCACTGCACACCTTCCTCGCATGCTCCGACTGTAGCTCAATTGTGAAGACACCATCAACTGTGTTGACGAAAATGGCATTTGCCCCCTCAGCGAAGCCCATTACATGCACTCTATAATCTTCATTCAATCGAGCACTAGTTGGCAGCAAATTGCCCAGGTCGATGACCCGATTCAGCACCCATTGCGCATCAGTGCCATCACTCGCCTCTCTTGTCCACAATTTGAGCTGCGGATCCAAGCCTTGGATTATGCCCAGTCCACCGTCGTCCTCCGCCAGCACAAGGTTATATATGCAGCCGTCTGGTGGCCTAAAAGTAAACACATTCAAGGCGTGCCTTGACAAGTCATACTCCATGATCGACACACCGCCATAGTCCAAGTCATAGTTGGTGTAGAACATGAAGTGGATCACAGAGCTCCCAACGAGCACGCTGGAGTATGTAAATTCGAATATGGACCAGTCGCGGTAAATCCAGGTCAGCTCGCCCCAGGTGCCAGTCTCCGACCAGTACACGGATGCCAACGCGCGGAACGCATCGTCATCGTCGGAGAAGACTTCTTCGTCGTCTACGGACAAGACGAAGAGCACGCGGAAAGGACCCCCGAGGCAGTCGCGGTGGCCACACCCGTCCGCTGCGCAGAACACGGCCGCAGTCAAGTAGCTGTAGCTCCACTCAAACGCCACGTGCCACGGTACGCGCTGCTGGGCGCCCGTGATTGGCTCCCACACAAGGAGCTCCTCGGCGTCCTGGCCCTTGGAGAGGAAGAGGACGCGGCCATGGCGGCAGTCAAGGGCCCGCCAGGAGCGGTGGTCCGGGGCGGCGGGAGAGAAGGACGAGGCGATGGTGGATTGGTGGGTATGAAGCTGTGCTGGGGTACGTAGCCCGGTCCAGGGAGGTGTCTGGTGGAGCTCGTGGAGGCGGCGGCGGAAGGCCGGACGGGAGACGGAGACGATGCCGCCCCAGTCCTTGCAGACGAGGGATGCACGGAGGAGGCATGCGGGGTCGTCGGGTGGGAGACTGATGAGGATCTCCTCGACGAGCTCGTCCGGAATCACTGGCGGCGGTGCTCCCATGGCGGTGGCTACTCGCTAGATCTGGGGATGGGTGTGCAGAGGAACCTGGAATGGCTGGAGGAGACTGGGGATTTTGGAGCCCGACTTTTCCACTCTACACTAGGAGAGCGAGCGATCTGGGCGGAGGGGAGAGGGGTTCGGCTCAGCCTTTTCTCAATCTCCTAATCCCGTTTACTGAACCTCCTAATATATTTTCGGAAATGTTAACGCCCATACATATGTGCGTTAGCCATCTCGACCACACGCATCCATCACCGTCCAGTAGTATATGCACGAATCTTGGCATGGTCTGGCCAATTTTTTGTGCCATGTAGGACAAGGGGCGTGTGTAGTGTGTGACATAGTTCGCCCGCACGTCGGTTGCCCCCCCACGGCCAGCGGTTGCCACTCGGGGGCGTGCGGTGGAACTGCTATGCGCCCGCACGCCACGCGCCGACCGTGGTTGACGTCAAACACGTCGCGCACTTCGCCACCCTCCCCCTCACGGTTCCATTTACTCCTCCCCACAGTTACTCGCACAACCCACCCCGCAGTTCAGTCGATTGGAGGAGAAGGCGAGAGGAGAAGGCGACGGCAGAGGCGGAAGAGTCGACGGCATTCGCGGCCGTCAGTGGGGCTCGCCGGACCGGAGCGTCTTCGTCGGAGCGCCTGCGGGTTGAAGGTAATGCTCCCCCACTCGATCGAAATCCTTGCCGGCATTTCTCCCCTCCCCTCCGTGGTCGATGCTTCGCTCGAGATTCATCGAGATTCAGGCAGGGTCGACATGCACCGGTGTTCCCGCCGGCGGCGGAGTCCTGTGCTTGCCGTTTTTGGTGGCACTGGGCAATTTCGTCGCCGCCGTGGTGGCGGTCACGCCGGTGTGGTTCGTTCTGTCCGGAGACACATACTGGTTGTGTGTTGGGATTGGGCCGTCGCTTTTCTGTCTGATAGTTGCGCATTGCTTCGAATTGGTATTTGCGATCAGTTCGGGTAGAATTTTGGGGATGAATTTCAAGTCATTATAGTTGCCATTGAACCCTAGATCTAGTTAGTTGTTTTTCAAACTGCAGCATGAAGGCAAACATGGTAGTTTGAGTAACTATCATGACTGTATGGCAACTAATTTCCTGAATGACTGTGATAGTTGCCACAAATATGCTTTTTCATGTGGCAAATAATTTCCTGAATGACTGTGATAGTTGTCACAAATATGCTTTTCCATGTGGCAACTAATTTCCTGAATGACTGTGATAGTTGCCACAAATATGCTTTTCCATGTGGCAACTAATTTCCTGAATGACTGTGATAGTTGCCACACTGTAGGCATGGTAAAGTGTAGTAAATAGGTAGTCATTGCAGTTTCAGCAACCAATTGCACTGGATGGCAACTAATCTGCACATCAACTGTGTCAGTTGCCACATGGATATCATATTTTTGTGGCAAATAGACTATGAACACACTGTGGCTGTTGCCATGTTGTAGACAGGATAATGTGGCAAATTGGCTGTATAACATGGCAACTAATTTGCTCATCAATTGTGTCAGATGCCATATATATGCTTTTCATGTGGCAAGTATTTGTCTGAACACAGCATGTCTGTTGCCATATTATAGTCAGGATAATGTGGCAAATTCATTGTACGGCAGACACAATTTCGTGTTTTGCCATGATGACTTGTGATATATGAACATATTTATCCGTACTAAATGGCAACTCATTTTTGATATGAGGTCAGTGTGTGCGTTGCAATTTCAGGTTGTTCAGTAGATGTATTTCATCGCTTTTTTGAATTCCGTGTTGCATTTTAACATGGCAATTTCCACCTAGCATATTTTGCCATTGAACACATGGCAAGTCATTTTTGTATGAGGACAGGGTGTGAGCTGCCACATTTTAGGTTTGTGCAGTGGAAGATTTTGTGGCTTTCTTTCGTAATATCGTGTGCTAACATGACAACTTCAACATTTTGTTTTTAAGTGCATTTACGATCTATACATTTTTTTTAAATGTAACCAATGTGCTTAATTGCCACATTTATGTTTTCGACGATCATAGGGGGGTGCGTGCATGTTTATGTGATATTTGCATTCACTAGTTGACATTTTCACTCGAGCCCATGCGGCAAGTACATTCTGTTAGGTGGCAACTGCTTACTTCCTGCATTTCATTTCCACCGTGACAATTTGGTCTGTTCTTACCTCAACAGAATGGCTCGCGGCGATCATCAGAATGATGATGATGATTTCATGGATCCACCACAGCAGAATCGGGCAACTGGACAGAGAAAAGATGGCGACGAGGTAATTGTCCACACCCCTCCTCCTCCTGCATATGTTATTGGTTGCCACCTCGAGCTTGCAGTCGTTTGTTATGAAGTAAAATTTCATGACAGTGAAAACATGGCAACAACTGATCATTTGTCTGTTTTTGCAGAAGAAGAAACATACTCGCAACAGGGCCTCGCAGGAACGACTGACCTCATTGACTGACAGATTTACCGATGATCAGAAGGGAGTTGCTGCTGAGATGGGTATGCAGGCTCTAATGAATGTCCGGTGCACGAATCTAGTCAACCTTGTATGCGACTGGCTTGGTGAGATTTACGACCCTGCCTCCAGGGAATTTGTGATTCCGGGACATGGAAGACTGTCGTTGAACGAGGAATCTGTGTTCTGCACTTTGGGTGTGCCCCATGGAGAAATCAAAGTCATGTATGAGGTCAATAACAAGATCGAGGAAACGTTGTTCCCCCATTTGTTTCCTGGGTTGGAATCCATGCCGAACACGTCTGTACTGGCAGATTCGCTGCAGGCCATGACAACCCATGGCGAGGTTTTTAAGATGAAACTACTCATGTACCTCATCTCAGCTATTTTCACGCCGACCACTTCTCTTCGCCCAAGCAACAAATGCTTCCCCATCCTGGTGAATGATCCATCTTTACTACATTATTTTCCTTCAATCTTTTGGCTCCGATGTCATGTGCAAGCTAGTCACTGCTAGTTTTTTTTAATGTTTTTTCCATTTGATTTCTGACGCGGCAACTCATTGTCCTGAAAATTGTGTGGTGCAGGCGAAACTGAAAGATGTGAAGAACATGAATTGGTGTAAGTTTATTGCCGACTTCCTGCATGATGCATTCTCAAGCAAGATGTACCAGAAGGGTTGTCGACTGCATTTAATGGTATTTTTTACCAGTCCTTTCTGTGAACACTCTTTTAACACCTTTTATTCATGCATGGCAACCTGATCATAACAAGATGGCAACTGCTATCATGACAATATGGCAACTGCCATCGTGAATATATGGCAACTGCCATCATGACAAGATGGCAACTGCCATCATGACAAGATGGCAACTGCCATCATACTATGATGGCAACTGCCATAATGACAAGATGGCAACTGCCATCAGGACAATATGGCAACTAGCACAGTCAGATGGCAACTAGCACAGACATATGGCAACTTCTTCTCTTTCGTTTTTTTCATGCACTTCAACTTGATGATTGTAGGAACATACATTAGCCTGTTTTTGCAAAATACCATGATGGCAACTGATATTTCTTTCTTTTTAAAATTGTTGTACATCAGCTCATGTACGTCGACTGTCTTGATCTGTCCATCGTGGATTTCACTGGGACAGGAGGCCCGCCGCCTACGCACAAGTTTGCTGTTTCTGCGTGGACTTATGATGCTTTCAAGGCTGTGCTTGCTGCAAATAGGGTAACTAATACCAAATATGGAAAACTGCAGGTTAGTTTTGGTTTCTTTCTCTACACGGCATTCTTACAAATTTTTGCGGCATAACATATGAAAAAATCGTCATGTGGTAACCGTCTGTGGTTAACAAGAGATGACTACCTTTGTTAGCCATGGCTGTCGGCGCATGGTATCCATGTCCCACTCCACATGGCAACTCTGTCATTCGTGCTGAAACTTATATTCATGTCTTCTTTTTTTGTTGTATTTGCAATACATGAACTAATAGTCAGTGTTCATCATTCTCTCTCTTACATCCTAGCTATTTTTTGGTTATTTCCA